TTACATACATACATCTTACATACATACATACAAACATACATTATTTATATATACTTTCATACATATATACATACATTCATACATATGTACATACATATATACGTGTATATATACATACATACATACATGCATGCATGCATACATGCATACATACTTACATACATATATACATACATACATTATGTTTCTTTATATTTATGTATTTATGTATGTATGTTGCTTTTTTGCAGGTCAAATATAATTTCTATAGTCGTATGTACGTACCATCATCTATCTTGTAATATTGAACACGTATGCTAACTTGAAAACAATGTTACGGCGGTAACACAAAGAACTGTTCAATGGACACAGTCCGTGCCATTGCATATATTAACCTTATATAAATCACACAATGTTGGAACTGTTTGAGTAGTGTATGACTTGCACATTATCTAAGCCTATTGTAGCACGGAAACTTACTGATTGCAGTGGCTTCTGTGCCAACCATTTCATTCGTCCTTCGATTCTTGGCGTCGTTGTTATTTAATCTCTTGACCAGGATCGATTTGATCATATGCTGATTGGATTGTGAACCCTCGATTGCTCGCGTATTTCGTTCGCATGTGAGTTTGACGTTTCTAATGACTTCCAAGATTTCAGTTTGCTGGTTTAGTACTTGCTGTGTGAGTAAATGAAGACTAATTGTTAGACATAGCATATCTTAACTGGTATTGAATAAGAGCCCCAACCCTAGTGTAGCAGTAGCACTGTCACTTTACGCAAAAGGGAACACCAGACAATGAGATAGAAATCATAGCTTTGAACCTGTGTATGACATTCACAATCATTACTAGCGCTGTTCGGTTAGCTACAAGTCTCATTTAGTATATACACCATATTTGATAACTTGGATTACCCATGCGTATACCTGGAACTTTTCGTTCATTTTAGTGAAGCCTTTTGCGTTGAAGTTTGAGTCTGCTCCTATAGCGTCCCTGCTGCCTAAGCGAGTTATTTTCATCGGTTCTTGTGAACCCTTACCGTAAACGTGAGGGCTCGCGTCTCTTGATGCTGGTAGTAAACTTGAGTTAGGCGATTGAAGATGCGAATGCAGGTATGTGGCAACGTCCTCGCTGTCTCTACCGGTTAAACTTGTTGGTCTGTACCGCATATTTGGCGTTGCGGCTCCTGAATTTGTAGTTGAATTCCTATGCACTCCCATTCCTGTACCGTTGGCAATAGTCATATTGCTGCCGACGGCAACAGTCCCGCCTAAATTGACTTCGGGTAGGGAATCTGTGGAGTCTGAGAATACCGTAAAGCGTCCCTTCCGCATGCTAGCAGACCGATGACGCACTCCATTGGGTCGCACATTAACTGCCGATATGGAAGATGTAATCGCTCCCGAATTCGTGCTTATATTGCTAGTGTTACTTTTTTGCGGCGTACAGGAAAGGATGTTCTCCTCTCTACCTGTAACGCTGATATCATCTGATAGAAAGTGAGACGCATCTACGCCTGCTTTCTCAAATAAATCAGTGCCGCAAAAAGCCATGTCCATACTGGCATTGTTTCTTGGAGTTGCAAGCCTTCCTCGCGTTACACCCGAAAGAATAGGTGAATCTGTGACTCGACATTCCTCCAGGAAAGGCGCACTTAGTGTTGTGGACAGCGTAGAGTTCGACCTTTCATATTTCGGGAGCTTGTCTGTGGAAACTACGAATCGACCCGTGACACTCACTGACCGTGAAGTGCTACGATCTCTTCTAATATTAGAGGTGCCGCTGTTGCCGATAGGTTTTGATATAGCCCTCACTAATACGGAGACGTCTTGTTTCTTATTTACGAGTGGGATGGGAGAATATGCATCCGACACCTTCTGACTGCTGCGAGTGTTCTCCATTCCCACGTGGGTGATATCAGTACTACTTAATGTTCTCCTAGTCTCTGCGAGTCGATGCCGTCCCACAACTTCTTGATATTCTGGAATGCGGGGGACCTGTTGCTGATTAAGAGTAGGGGGCGAATTTACCGTGGTACTTTCTGCTGCGCTCCTGCTTTCGCTGAAAAGCTTCCTCTTCTTTTCTAATAATGTTTGGTGTGATGGTGCAACCTGATGTGGCTGTTCGCCGATTATCATGACCATTGCGCACTTGCTACTAAATACAATGTTTTTAAGAGCTATAAATGTGGTTTGTGCGTTCTAGGAAATGACCTTTACTTCTTGAGTAGTCTATACTTCGATCTCAACCAATGTTTGTTTGGTCTTTTACGTCCCCTGTAGTCCATTAATATAACAAGTGCGCGTTAGATGATTTGAAAATATAGCAGATGGAGTATATATATATATATAAAATATCATATAAAATATGCAAGAGGCGACAATAATCGCAACAACGCGTAAGAATATGAGGTTCAAATATTTACATCGTTTGCATGTGGAGCAAAGGTTGAGGACTACAGAAGGCTCGTACAAACAATGGATGGAACAGGTGTATACTAGATTCGATACCACTATGTGGTTTGCGATTAGTGATTGTCTTTGCTACAAATAGCCACTTCGTACTCTGTACGTGTGTACACTGAACACCAGCCATAATAAATTAATAATAGATATATATATTTATGTAAATACCCCTAGTCTTTTACTAATAGTTGATGTCGATTCTGCCCAATCCGATGGCTCTGATATCATTACAACGAACTGATTGAACATTAGCGCGAAACCACCAATCATTTTTAAGTAACGTGGAATCAATTCGTTTGAATAGAGTCTATACATTCGTATTCAGTATTGTATAAATAATATTAATTTTTGATGAATGTTCGAAATGGAATGTAGCGTTGTAGAAGGCTAGCGTTGTAGACCATACTCACCGACCTAGAATAATGTCTACATTTACCTTGCAGATGCTTTTCATACATGGCTTGTCGAATAAATAGACAAACAAACGTGTTTTGAGTTTATTGCACACCGAATTTTTGCACTTGTATTCATCGAGTGTGGGATAGGCGGCTCCTTAAACACAGACCACAGGTCGTACCCAAACAGTTTGTACAGGTTGCAATTTTGAATTATCCTCTGATAGGCTTTGTAATCATATCTTGCCCTTAAACACACATCATCATGGCATCAACACAATTCTCCAGTGATATGTTGACGCCAACGATTATAGGTGCGTTCATTTCGCTTTCTAAATTTTATACTTGGATGAACTGACAGAATATCGCTAAAGCGGACATCTTGATATTCTTATTGTCTAGAACTGTTTACGTGAATACACTGTACTGATCCTAAGAGCAAAATCGAGAGTCGCTGCGGGGCGTTCTGCTTCGATCCTTATCGCATCTAATAATTTTGCAATTCATTGACATTTGGAACAAATAGCTGTCACCTCCAAAGAAAAGGTCTGAAGTGTGGTCCGTATCTTAGACAGCGATATAGCCGGTATAAGTAGGTGATTACTACGCTCGAAGAAAATACGTACATTCAATACATTTCACACAAAATGGCACATTCATAGTATACCTGCTCAAAGCAATATCGGATGCGAGCTTCAAATAAGTTAATTTTCAACGAATCAATCATTCTGTATCTTTTGATCCTAGCCAACTCTGCCGGATGGATGATGGGGGGCCTCACGTTTCCGACGATACTAAGAATATCTCAGAGCTACGTATTTTATCCTTTGGGGTTCGATACATCGACTCGCTTCAAGGCCTCTTCGTGTGGTTTCTTGGCGGTTTTGATAGGTAGGAAGAGTATCAAATATCAGCATCGGTTTGTTGCTAGCATGGTTTGAATCATGATACTCTGTCGACTGCGCGATGCTCAAATCAGTTCTTTATTTTCCTATTTTCAGGAGGCTCAGTTTCGTCATTGCTTGCTATTGAGCTCAGAAATAGAGTGATACTCGAATTGGATAGCGACACATCGGTGCTTCCGTCGTATAGTTTCAAGAACAGGAAGTCAACTGACAAATGTATGCAAGCATGTAGGTAGCTAGGAACATATGAGAGAAGTATGTATGTATATTACTGTAGGCACATGACCGCCATTGCATGTTTATATCGTACACAGACTAGCCAGCAGTGGTTGGTTATTGATGTAAGCTACATATTCCAGACTCCCAATCTAACTGGGCAAGCCATTTAAAATGACAATGGAATGGAAACTGACATCATGTGTCTGCGAAATCAAAATCCATAAACTAGCTCTGAATGTTTTGTGGAACATTTCTTCATGCTGTATGAATACGCACCAGACCTACTTGGCGTATACAATTCTACTACGCAATAGCCTTCGTGTCCACCTGGTTAAAAACTGACCTGGCAACCATGTAACATATGGGATAGATAATTGGGTTCGAAATTCACAATTCTAATGATTGCATAAAAAAACATTTCTCAAGTAGCCCGAATGCTCACTATTCCACTTTCACCCGTTCCCTTCAACTCAGTACAGTGCTCCTGTGTGGTATGCTGTCCACAGTGATGTTCCGACTATTTGGTGGACGATTTATTAACATAATACCAAGTAACGTCGCGACCAGGGGAGCATATGCGAATATCATGCAGTCACTACCCGCGTCATCATCAAAATATGCCACTGGTATGTACAGATTTTTGAAGCGAAAGATGCTCCTTGAATCTGCATTGCGCTTATTATGTCTATGTCTGCTTTCGATTAATTATTTGAATCTTCTTTTCCACTTCTGAAATTACCACAGCAAACGAGCGCAAGTTAATCACTAAATTAGGGCAAGCCTACGGTTGTCATACATGTGGGGCGAAAAGTGGGAGCACCATTTTCCATGCCGACCACCAGCCACCCAATGCCCATAAGTGGTTCTGGCAAACGCAAAGATTCTATGCCCAGGTACATATACGGTGGTGCATTTGCGTTCAAACATTCACAAATAATCTCATATCACGTCATTGTCATACGCTACAGTTTCGTGACAGTATTCCTCCCTATTGATGCACTTAAAAATGTGCTGGGTTACGCAAATTTATAGTAGGGATGTTTGGTAGCAAGTTCCTCTAAATTATTGTCGGCAATGGGGGAGAAAATGCACAGCTTATTGAGATCGTGTGCAGACTGCATACTGACTATCGTAATCGAATACGGCTCTCGGATAGATTTAAGATGAGAGTGAAGTAGAAAATTGCCATTCATGTATCCGCTAAAGATTGTCTATCCTGGTTATCAACACATCCAACGTACGGACAATGATCTCCAGTGTCAGAACTGCTCTGGAAAACAAGGTATGATGAGAAGTATGGGATGAGTGCAACTATTGACATGGAGATTCTATCCCGGTTTATAAATATGAAGCCATATGAAGCATATTGACTAGGCAACTACTCGACTATCTATCCGAAGCATATTGACTAGACAATTACTCAACTATCTATCCGATTCATCATGGCTGTATCCTACTACCTACTACATGGCAGGTGCGAGTATTGGAAGTAAGACGGTCAGGAGTATAACTCACTTCAATTTCCGAATGTACTTAGTGTGGATGCCAATCCCTTTATTCCTAGAAGCCGCTAGCGAATATGACGCTTGATTTCTATTTAAGCGCCTTGATACTAGGACATGTACTTATGGTGGGCTATAATATGAATCCTTATGTCAATGTTGGCGGTTGGCGAGTTCGCCGATCTGACTGAACTGTATCAGTCAGCAAATGAGCACACAACCATGTGCGTGCAAGGATCACGTGTCTAGTTGTTGCATGATATCAATTCCTTGGCCATCAATAAAGATATATCTATGTATTAGCAAGAGTAGTAGACATGCTAGACAAGACTGTAGAGTGTCGAGTTGTAAACTGTAGAGTGTAGAGTTGTAAACTGTAGAGTGTAGACTGAGAAGTGAGTCTCTACTCTAGAGAGCAGTGTGTGTGGCAGTGTCAACTGTCAAGTATGCAGTGTGTACTGTGCACTGTATAATACACTGTAGTGCACAGCCAGCACTGTCAGGTGTCAACGAATAAAATCGTTGTCATCACCCGCTCCAATAGCCATGATGTAAATATTAAATATCGTCCGGTAATTATTTTTTTCTCAAAATAGTCCGCCCTGACTCCTAGCCTCGAACCGTTTCCCGTTAAAACTTTTATATATCGAATAAATATACGTTTATGTTCAACTTTTATTCCAAATACAGTCCTCTCTTTGTTACTAGGTGCCGTTTTCGGGTCTAAAATTGAAATATGTACTGTTTTCAATATACGAACCAGTTCTATAGTAACAACTTAGGTGGGTCTTTCTAGTCACATTGTAACTGTTATAACGTTTAAAATGAATAAATATGCATTTACGTTCAACTCAAATCCCGTACATACCCCCATAACGTAATGAGCATAGCCAGACTCTCTCTCTATGTAGTAAATACTATGTATTTATTTAAAATACATAGGAGAGAGGGTCATGAAATATCTAATAATATATATCCATTTCTTTTTAAAATATATGTATATACATATATATATAATTGAACAAAAGAGGACAAAAATCAAGCAATTTCGAAAAACTTTTTGAAAGCATTCTCCCCAGTTTCCACATGAGGTTCAAAATAGACTTCATCACAATATTTACCTTGAAACGTTTTTACGGGGTTCAAAAGGCTGAATGCCTGAAACAAAAGTCGACCCAACGTCCAAATTTAACGGATATCCTCTACCCAAAAATAATAAACACTTCGAGCCTGAGAGCTCGCGACAACTATAGGGCCATCACTTTTTAAACTCTTGTACGTATATAAAGGGGTATGTATATTGTAGAATTTGAAGCCTAAACGTCTAAACGGAATATTGAGAACAAATCACAACTCTCACAAGTCCGAACTCTGCAGACTGAAGTCTTAATTCTGAAGTCGCAGACCCGCAGTCACAGCCAACAACCGCAGACTCCAAGAGTGATTCTAATATAATAATAAAATCAGGGGTCCGGGTCTCCGGGAATCTGGAATAATTAAATAATATATCCACCCATGCGTGAGCGACTTTCAGCGTCACTGCCGATACATTTCATTGACTTCTGCACGCTGTATTAGCAAGAACATACACGAGGCAATAGTGAACAGCGCCATGTCACATACGGGATCCCTTTTATTTGACGACCCTTTTTACCCTTACCTGGAGAGATTAGCATATCCTCGCAATGCTTTTTTTGGTCCGTTAGCTGAGGCCACTGGTCTTGAGATTAATGCTCTGTCTTTAGTCTTCAGTCTGGTCACCGCTCTCCCTGCTGGTGCGCTGTAAGTGATAGCACCTCAACCACAATTACGATTAGTCTGCGATATCCGTGCGCCATCGAGTATAGTTTTGGATATCCAGCTTTTCTCTTTCACTCTTATAGTAGTTGTGTGTACAATAGCACACATCATTGTAGCTTGAACAAACATTTGCAATGACAATGTGTGCACGATTACTTTTCCCTAACTATACAATAGAAACACCTATCAACAATTGAGTGTGGCTGAACTACATGATATATATATATATATATTATATATATATATATATATATATATATCTACTATATTTAGTCTTACTACTCCGCCACCGTACCTACTACCCTAACAACATAC